GCGTTGATCATTTCTAATTCATCGTTCTAGGCCTTTTACGTTAAAGCAAAACTTAATCAATCGCTTCATTCAAATCAAGCCATCGCATCAGTATCTCCCCTTTTTCTAGACATTTTTCACCTCACGCAATTCAATCATTTCAAATTTCTCACGCGTCGACCATTGCCAGCGCCTCCGCGCAGATAATTCACAACACCGTCGGAACGTTCAGTAAAATCATAAATAAAATATTAACGTTCCTCGTGCGCTCCAATCGCTGTCGCCTTTCGTTGCGTCGGCGACACATGGTCTCGAAAAAATATGGCCAGAGAATAGCAGTTTTCATTTTTCCCCATTGACTTATAATGGTGAGTTCACGAACATGACCTGACCTCATATGACCTTTAGGAAAAATCCGAGACATAAGGTGTGATACTCGTAATGAATATTAGATCCTGCAAGTTTCATTTATCTGTGAAAGCTCCTCTGGCAGTGAGGGCGTTGCGAAGTTGCGACATCTGAAGACCGTTGCAGAGGTTCACTTATGACGTCACAGGTCAGTGACCTGACCTGACCTGACCTGAAAATGCGTATGGTGTCAAAAGATCCGGCTTGAATCAAGGGTCAGGTATGCCAAGTTTCAGCTCTCTATCGCCAGCGTGTTCGAAGCTATCGCGAAATAACCCTATGGGGGGGGGGCACCCGTCTCCCCTCGGCCGGCGAGGGTTAACCCTCGCCCGTATTGGTGTTTTTCCAGCCGCGAACGTATAAGGGGGGGGGGTCCGTTGGACCCCCCCCCCCTTGCCGTTTCGCCCCTGATCGAGCTAGAGCTTCGCGGAAAAAACGAGCGTGTTGCCCGTGACGAGAAGAAGCCGATGATACCCAATTTTAAGGTCCTAGGTCATTGGTTGACCTTGCAGGTCAGGTCAATGACCCAAAAGTCGGGAAAATCGGGACCTGTTAGAACGTCGTAAAGTGTGGCTGCTATGGGGTTTTTCGGGGTGCTGATCACGAATATCATGTTAGTTTTGATCACAAATGATGTCTTCATGCATTTAGGCCGGGTCGGGTCAGGTCAGGTCAGGTCAACCAGTAAGGGTGTTCGTAGTAGGTGGCAACCGCCTCTGACAGCTTCGTAACATGTTACGAAGGCACCAAAACTACTTCGTAAATGTTCATATGGTTGCTAAATTCGAATTCAGCTCTAAAAACTGGTCTAGAAACATGTAAAACTCGAAAAAGTGAACCGAGGTCATCAAAGGTCAATGACCTGACCTGACCTTCAGGTGACCTTGACACCCACTCTAATGCATGGGGGCAACATCATATCACATGTTTGAACGCTTGAAACCACGAAAAGACTGCAAACGCGCGGCTAATGCGAGCCGACATACGCCGAATCGCGATTCCGGCCAAACATGGTCTCGAAAAGTAGGTCACAGGTCAAAGGTCATTTGGGTCAGGGTCATGAAATTTTCAGGGTAGGTGTAAAATTGATGAACGCGAGGGTACTGAAAGTTTCGTCACGATCGGCCGCTTTTTACGCGAGTTATTCGCGAAAAACCATGGGGGGGTCCGTTCGACCCCCCCCCCCCTATACGGGCGAGGGTTAATGTATCTAATGGTCTTGCCGAATCGCGATCGAATGTTTATTGTGCAATGTATGATCAACTTAGTCTGGGGAGTGCAGGTAAGTTGTCCTTAGCACTTCATTAGATTGTGAAAATAGGTACAGCCAATAGGTGCACTGCGCGATTCGGTCATGTCAATGAGGTGAAATTTAAAATCAAACGAATTAATAAAAACAGATGGAGGCTGACAGCTCAAATTGAAATGACCTCCGAAACTGCCAGTAGGGGAGAGTGGGGAAAGATGCCCAGGGTTTTGCAATGTCATATATTATTCGAAAATGACAATAGGAAAGCAAGAACGTGGAGTTTCAACGGAAGCCGACATCATTTTTCTCCAAAAAAAATATCACACTTTCGTGCCTGAAATATGATAACTTTTTTGCTATTAAGCATTTTCCTGAAGAAGTGAAAGGGGGCATCTTACCCCAGAGGGTGGGAAAGACGCCCCCTGGCGTAGGGGAAGATGCCCCCTGCACTATAAGTGACATAAATTGGCACGTGAATTGCCTAAAGGAATCAGTAGTCCCTTCGAGCCTGCGGTAGACACTAAACGCTATCATAACTCATAAGGGCCCTAAAAAGTCGTCGAGAGGAGCTTCAGAGGTCATCGTGAGGGCCATCATGTCCAGCGCGGCCAAACGAGCCTCCGTGGTGGCGTTCGGAGACCGTCGTGGGGCCCTTATAGGTCTTCATGATGCTTGAGGGCCCTCAAGCCGCCCATCGTGGGGACTTCAGATGCTAGCGCGGCCCGTGGAGCCAGCGTGGGAGCCCTCAAAGGATGTCGTGAGGGGCCTTGGAGTCAATAATGGGGCTCACAGAGGCCGTCATGAGGGCTCTCAGAGTCAGATGCCGCCCAAAAAGTCGTTGTGTGGGCCGAGAGACCGGCATGGAGAGTACCCGACCATATTGGACTCTCAATAGTCCCAGATCGGCTTTTGTCTCTCAGCACAAGTATGTAATAAATGATTCGACGGGTTGCTTGAAGGACAGCGTACGGAACTAGGGGGTGGGCGTCTTTCCCCAGCAGGACAGGGGACATCTTTCCCCAAGGTACCGAATTAACATTTAATCAGTACAATTTGTAAGCCATAAAACAACAACCTGAAACAAACTGGTTAGGACACAGTACACGCATGTTAATGCATCTCGACCATAGCAAGGGAGATAAAAATTATTTACCTTCTTTGATATTTACAATGTTTTGACACCAAAATATTTTCTGAAAGCAGCAAATAAAAAACATGCGATCACCAGCCAACCGTTGCTCAACTAAGCTTCGAAAATGTTTGTGCAGCTAACAAGACAGGCTTCCGCTTTACGCTAAGAACATAAATTTTCATGTTAGATTATTTGTTTCGCCGCTAGAGGGGGTGGGGTGTCTTTCCCACCCTGGGCATCTTACCCCACTCTGAACTCTCCCCTACGTTGGATCCGTACCACACGTAAGCGGTCTGCGGACTGTCGAGGATGGTAGGCTGTGCCGCTCCACCTCTGTGTAGTGCGGCACAGTATCCTTCAAGTCGCCTGCTGCATGCTTTGGAGGAAAGGAACGCATTGGTTCAGGTTAGCGTTATTCCTACAGGCTACAATACAATTGGTCATCGGTCTATCATGTGATGGTTCTCGTTATACAATTTTATAAGCAATAATATAATTACATTCTGGGATTTGATGCGCGTATCACATTTATACCTTCCATGAAAGCCGAAGCCCTAAAGCAAAAGAAGCAGACGGTCTTAGACGGTCGTCTGACAGTCTGTCGACAAGTGCAATTAACGTTATTAAAGTCTTCTTACGAAATTCAGGCAACTAAGATATTTTGTGGTGGGGAAGGCATTTTCACAGCCTGTCAGGGCTGCGGGGTGAGTAAAGAGGTGGCGACTTTGAGCTGATTGAGTTCATTCGACCACCGGCCGGTGTGCCAACTGCCGGAGGCAGCGGATGTCGGCTGTCGGCTGAGTCCGATCCGTGACGACTGACAAGCCTGGGCGTGTCTCAGTGCAATAGACCGGACCGAGAAAGTTATACGGCCAACACTTTAACCCCGGGTGGTATCCTCCGATAGCTACCCTTACCGCGACGGTTGTATTGTCAAAGCCCGGAACAAAGTAATATGATCAAGGTCAAGGATGACGATGGGTTGGCCCCGACTCCCGGGGATAAAGGGGACTGATGATATTTTACCAGTAAAACGCCGTTTGGGCGAAGAACGAGCGAGCGAGATAGTGAGCCCTGCACGTGCGGAAGGGCGAGAGGGTACTTCCAACGGGCTTGCGCAAAGCACCCTTCTAACCGGTCGCTAGCGGTGTACCAAATTTGAACGCAATCGGCCCAGCCGTTCCTGAGATCTGGAAGCGGCACTCTGCACGTGCGCACGTGCAAACGGGGTCCAAACTGACTTTTGCACGGCACCCTACTAACTGGTCCCCAACCGTGTACCAAATTTGAGCGCAATCGGCCCAGCCGTTCTCGAGATCTGGGAGCGCCCCCTGCACGTGCGCACGTGCAGTAACACCTTAACCGCAACACATGGGAATGCATCGCCTGGTGGGTGCCTACCTGTATGCCAAGTTTCAGCGAAATCGCCCCAGTAATTACCGAGTTATTAAAATGGGAACAAATTTGACACCTCTTATTGTTGTATTTTGCACGTGCTCTGGGGGTGACCCACATGCATCGAAAGTATCCTGTTTTTGGTAGAAGGGATGCTGCTACCCTACAAAAATTACCGCAAGTCAATCGCCCAAGCGGCTGCTGAGATATGAGCCTCTCAAAATCACTACTTTTGCAAAACAGCTTGAACACCCTTGACTTTTCGCGTGGCACGTGCCACGACGGTCACTGAGGTGCATCAAAAGTAGTCAATTACGGGGTAGAAGGGATGGGGCTACCCAGCAAAAAAGACCGCAGGCCAATCGGTCCAGCGGTTGCTGAGCTATAAGCCTCTCAAAAGCGTTACAGGCCGGGCCGGGCCGGGCCGGGCCGGGCCGGGCCGGGCCGGGCCGGGCCGCTCATACTGAGATTTTTCCGTTATATTGAAAAGACTCGCTTCGCTCGCTGCGCTCGCTCGCTCGTAATAATTTCCAACCAGTTGTATTTTATTGCGGGGTGGCGTAAAATCTAAAAACTTTTATCTGGTATCGCTTGGCAAAAACGATCATATCCACTTGGACGGCCCTTTTTGCTTTCAGGCGAGTCTCTATCAGCGAGCAGGTCCGTATCGGTGCGCCTCTGCGCCGTCTGCCGGCCGATTCCACAACCTGCCGTGCAAGAGTGCGCCGCCGTCGACGCGCGTCGGCCTCCCCCGCGGCGGCGCCCTATAGTGGACTCGTCTGAGGCGTCGATATCGCTTTGGGCGGCCGAGTCGGGCGCGGCGCGGCGCGCCGATTGTCGGCGCTCGGCTCAGCTGGCCGACGGCGGCACAGTCTCGGCCACGACCGAGCGCGCCGATCGATGGTGGACGAGCGGAGCGCGCGCCAGTGTCGCCGCCGCCGCCGCCGCGTCCGTGATGGGCCGCCGCCGCCCGCGCCTCTCGCTATAGTGTCAACTGCCGATGGAGTGAGCCGCGGTGGCCAGCCGGGCACGATGAGGGCGCCGGCAGCCGGCGTCGGCACCCCGCTGCTGATCCTGCTGGCGGCCATCCTGGCCACAGGTGAGAGACTCCGGCGACAGCGACACTGCCCGCCGCGCCGGTCCGCCGTGACACTGGCTCACCGTTCGTTATCACACGTTACACACAATGGCTAACGGGCTAATAGTTACCAAGCACTTCAACCGACAGAGACGCTGCTAGAAGCACGGCATCCACTGATTTCAGAATCATGGATCTGCTCGTGTCGGTTAGTTACAAAGACCTGCGTGAAGGCGACCGCGCACCAGAACAGACTGGCAGCTACAAAGAAAGGAGACAGTGGCAGCCGTGGGTCGCACCTACCAACATTGGTCGCATTTCAATGGCAAGAGTCACGATCACCTACTTACCGCCACTCTTACTAGCCGCTAAGGACGTCATACCAAGATGGCACTGTTTCATCACCGCTATGCCGGCACGATAAAAGGAGGAAACATGGTCGACCTATAAATTTTAATTGAAAAATGCTGGGAAAGCAAGTTATCTTTTACTTGTTAGTGGTTGAAGTGGTGCTTCAGCATTAGTGATTGACCAAGTCTGATGGCTCCGGCGTTATATGATCAGATTTAGATGACGTAGGTAATTATATTTGAAACATTTTTCTGATACTTGGTACCTACTTATGGTCAAAATCATACTTCAATATTTTCTCTCACATTTTTAGGTATTGGCGGATCCAGTTCCCAATCTTATATAAAATGCCGTACTATTCTATTTACGGCATTTGGTAACATTGACAGTGATAGCAGTGCCGACAAACGGTAATCCGAGTCGACAAAATGATTCTTTGGACTGCCAACATACGATGGACTGAAATGCGTGAAAACCATGTTGCATTTAATAGCCGTGTTCTGCACCTTAACTTCAGCCAGTGCTGCCATATCCATTCCACGGCGTTTATAAGAGTGGTTTGGGACGATGCAGGCTGAGGCATATCTAGTATCTACTCCACTAAAACGTTCTCCAATATCTCAAACACACCCCAGATTCGCTTCTTAAGGTGTTCCTATGTACTTCAAAGAAACATTATTTGAGTAGATAATTATTGAATGTTGTTCATTTAATTCGCGAAAAAGGGACACAATTTGTCCATCTCGGCCGCTGCGGAAGGTGGAAATGCCTCAAATCTGGGCATCTGGCTGTTTCAAGCTTATCGATTATTTACACAAAGCAAGGGCACCAGGTTTGTACAATACAAAGTAGGTATATACTATGGACATCGTTGGGGAGTTCTTTTTTCGAATCGGGAGTTCTGTCAAGTGCGTTGCGTTTCTGAAGAATGTCTTTTTCAAAGGTCGTTCGTAACATATTTATAACAATGGTAACAGTTTCCCAGCACTAATGGAGCTAGCAACTGGCAGTGCCATTTATTTTGATTATGTGCATGTCGTATGTAAAGGTATGCCGGACGACTCAATGGCCATGGTAGGCTAGACAGTTTGCAATTGCAATTGCTGAGGCACATTGCCTCTATGTACTTGGTTGCTGATATGCTACCGCTTAGTTTGTCACACAAGCGATGCTGTATATGAATGAGTGAATGGATGACATGAATGAATAGGTGAATCAATAAATTAATGTTTGAACTAAATGATTGAGTAAGCGAACGAACGCACAAAAGAAGAGACGAATGAATGAATGAATGACAATGAATTTACGAGTGGATGGATGACAGATGTTGAATAGCCCGGTCGATTTAAAACGTACCTACATATCAGTTTTCCTGCAAAGATATTCCCGTTTTATTGTGACTCTTTTAGCAAGAGCCCATTTTACTTGGGCCTCGATCAATCTGTCCCACCCGAAATTTGTGACGTGAGTGACGTGGAATTAACCTTAAAGGGACTATCCCACCTTCAAAAAAGTCCCGTTTAGGATTCGGAAATGTTACTCATGATATTGTGACGAATTCTGCAAGTTTTTACGCGTTTTCATCGTATACTTTTTGAGATATTGCGACTTTTATATTTCATCGTGACGTCATTTAGATCGGATCTGTGACGTAATGAAGGATTTACTTCATGTCAGTGTGGGGGAAATTTGGCAGCAAATATAGGTATTTGCTCTCAAATATGACTCGGCTCATACAATAGCAAAAGTGTCTCTGATTGGCTTAGTCGTAAATCAAGTGATCCTTCACTTGAACAGGCGTTCAAAAGGCAAATGACGTCATCAGATTGCCGTTAATGGTTAAGAGATTGGGCCTTGCGCAGGGCTCATTTTCAAATGAAGGGAACGAATTTCTTCAACACCACGAGGCCGCGGGGGTTACAACCAAGATGGATAGTGGTTTCTGGACCTCGCCGCAAACTTGGCTATCTCAACTCAAACCTAATGTAAAGGTGGGATAGTCCCTTTAAAGGAAGACTGCCACCTTCAAAAAGTTTTCTCAGATCGGCCTATGATTTATTCCCTGGACAAAACAAAATTTTAGAATTCACCTGACAAAGTATCATCACGTGAATCGCGAAAAAAAATTGTCGATTATCATACAATTATCAATCGGTTAATGTCTAGCGACAATGTTTACACATCACTAGACTTCAAGGTCATAAGATTATTACATTTTATTTGAAAAAGTAAGGTATTTTATGATTTACTAATATATGATTTCATAAGAAATTGGCCATGTTTAATTTATTTTGCATTTAAGTTCGTTAAACATTTAAAAATCATGGCTCATTTGGAATGGGTCTGGCCCATGTTAAACCCCATTTCCCACACTTTTTTGGAAAAAATGAACTACTGAATATATAAGTTTAACTTTTATTTTGACACTCCAAAATTCTTCTCTGATCTCGAAACAATCAAAGTTTTGACATATATTTACCAAAAGATAAGAAAATTCATGTTTCAAAGTTATCGATAAACAGTAGAGATGTCGGTTTTCTTGGACTAAAAAAATGGCATCAAACTGAACTTTGGTCTCCGATTTCTCGCAAACGGGTTCGAATTTCGGAAAACCGACTTCAGTCTGGGACATAGGTGGCTCAGCTCTAGTGAAAACCGTTTTGTGGAAAAAAGGTGGCAGTCTACCTTTAACCCGCGCCGGGCCGATGCTCCGCGGCTTCCGCTCCGGGCCGGGGGTGTCTGAACACCCCCTCCCCCGTCTAACTCGGCTCCTGGGCCACGTAGCGACATGCGGTAAGCGGCATTCGAAAGAGCGTCAAAAATAATGACGGAAACACTTCGGTCATTTTTAGGGTCAGGTCAAAAGTCAGGTCGCCAGAGGTCATCAAAGGTCAAATGAAGTCCATTTAAACAATTTTGGAAACTGCCAGCGGCTAACTCGGGAACCAATAGAGCTACAGCGCCGCGGAAAAGCGCATTCGATAGCCCTTTAACAGACCTTTCTGAGAATTGATCTCAGATTTGACCTCAGGTCAACGGTTAGTCTCCAGAAGGTAAAAACTGTAAAAATAGCAGTTTTCACGAAAATGGTTTTTCGTCAATAAATTTTAACTCAAGAGAGCCACAACATTACTTTTGGCAGCATCATGTTCCTCTCGTCGAGACGCGTCGAATGAACTATTTGTTGACATTGAAACGTCAATTTGAAAATGTTACCTCAGGTCAAGGTCATGACCTGACCGGAAAGGGTCGTGTTGCATATCAGTCGATCCGTATCGTCGAGCTGAATACATCTGACGTGTTTTCATCGCTCTAGCACGTCTTTATCAAAAGTCTTTATCAAAAGCCAAAAAAAAAAACTGCTGGTGACCGCTCATGACCTGTGACCTCAGGGGCACACAGAGGGGTCACAGGTGCATTTTTCCGATTAGTGTGTCATGTTTACCTATGAACCGATGTTTGAGAGGGTTTTGAACATCATTCGTCCAAAAGAGGCGCATTTCAATTTTCTCCCATTGACTTATAATGGAGAGGTCGCAAAATTGACCTGACCTTAGGTCACCGATATCAAAGTTCCGAGATATACATTTTGTACATACTGTTACTCTTATCAATCGCTGAAAGTTTCAAGGCGATCGTTCAGTCGGTGTAGCTGTGACGAGGATTGAAACGTTTCTGAAGTGAGGTCACTTGACCTGACTTGGTGACCTGACCTTGAGAGCCCTGGGTCTGAAATTGTCAAAACATGTGTGGAAAAGATGCATAAGCAGGTGTGCCAAAAAAATGGCAGCGCTCTGCGCCGCCGTGGAGTGTTCAAACACCCCCCCCCCCTCCCGGCCCGGCGCGGGTTAAGCTTTCATAAAATGTTACAAAACATCATGATTTATGCATTATTCTGTGATAGCCGAGGCTCATTGTTATTATGTTGATGTGCAGTTATAGCACTTGTACCTATACTTGACTAAAATGCATGCAAATTGCAAACCAACGACTTGATGTATGCATAGAACATAACTGCCTGCATACACAGGTGATAGGTAGTGTATAACCTTTTTCAGTTGACTAGTGAATAAGATGCTCAGCTGGTGACTCATTGGCAGGGCTACGGAGTCGACGAATTTTCGGTGACTTTGACTACGACTCCGACTTCTACTTCCAAAAATCAGCTCCGACACTGACTCCACAGACCTTCCAAGTCTGCGGAGTTGATGGATTTTCGGTGACTCCGACTCCGACTCCGGTTTCCTAACTCGATTTCAACTCCGACTCCGACTCCCTTCAGAACTGTCGACTCCGGCAGACTCCGACTCTGACTCCGACTCCTCATTCCTCAGCCCTGCTCATTGACAGTAAATTCAGGGTCGGAAGAGTGTGTAAGCCGTATAAATACCTACTGTTATTATTATCTTGCGCATTCCGTAGGCTATACAATGTTTAGCCTGCGTTTGTAGTTGTAACATGGATTTAGTTACGGTCGATCTGGTAGGGTACGTGTCCGGTTCGTGTTGCCACGCGACAAGCTCTGGTCATCGGGCACCTAGGTCCTGAAGCATTCATTCAAACGTTCGGACTTGATTAAAAGTGTAGTTATCGTTAAACGCTCATGTAGTGTTTACCAGTAGGCATTTCCATTCCAGCCTTTGTAATAGTCTGAGCGAAACTTTTGAGCA